CCGACATTTCACGTTCATCGCGCGGAAGTTCGCAAGATGGCGAATGAGTGTTGTTGTCATAATCGTAGTCATAGTGACTGAAGTCGACGGTATTGGTATTTTGAGCCACCTAAACTTTCTTCTTAATTTTTTGTGTAGAAACGATTAGTCGGCTAGGTCTCGCGGAGTCAGCCCCGCTCTAAGAAGGGAGAGAGTCTGGTCAAGGTCAACTGTCCTCTAGTAGGATCCGTTCAGGTCCTTTTTGACACCATCCAACAGCTAACCGAAGCTAGAGTATGACTGCTTTAACCCTTGGCCTGTCCCCCCCACCAAAAGCGGTCCCCCGGAAGTTCTGCAGCAAAAATATTGGACCCCCTGGACTGTCCGCAGCAGAAAAAATCGACCCTTCTAGTGCCGTGGACGGTAGAGTAATGCGCGTGGGCGACGATGTGAATGCGCCAGCAGCGAAGTGAAACGGGGAGAAGACGTAGCTGTGTAGCAATTACCGTCGGAAACACATTGTGACACCGCGACACTCAAAGATGCTAAGATATAACGGAGACACGGGTTCGCTTGATACGTGTGCATATTTCGGGTGGGGGACAGTGTGCTGCAGGACGGCTGCCACGGACGTTCCGGGGGGACCGGTTTTGGCGGGGAACCATCGACGACGTGAAAGGCCCCCATGAGCGAGGGTGTGGCAGTTGAGCTGCTAAACTATGTACTTTCTATGTATGCTTGGGTATACATAAGTGTTTATACAACGGTTGCGCGAATTTTCAATGGCGCCGCCCACAGTTTATTCAGTATAACCATCAAATGATCTGCGTACTTTTCGCTCTAAGGACGCCTGCAATGGTGCAATCGTCAAAGAGAACGAGCGTTCTGTCCGACCGACCTGGCAGCTAAAAATGGTGGCGGGTCCACAGCCATGCCCAATATGGTCGAAAATGATGACAAAATCTATTACCACGGTATAAATTGGTTATACCTGACCTACTTCGGGTGTTTCCGCAAATACCCTCAGGAATGTGTGATAATCCCTCGGGATTATCAACACATTCTTTCTGGTATTTGCTATAACCCCCTCGTAGGGGTGGTAAACCTACTACATGTTCTGTGTCTACATTACTGTGCATTAATCTGTATGTATATATTGTTCATTTAAATCACCTGCATGTTGTTCTATACTAGTGTAGGTTCTAGATATGGTCTGTATTGGTGTATGGTAACTGTATTACCCCCGTTTATTGTAGTGTATCACCAATCTATGTACATCACATTACCATTGTGTTCGGTTATGTAACTTAGGGCCTGTGTGTGTGCCAGTTATTTTTAACCCTCGGCGGCGCAGGGTTACAGTACTTGGTCCGTCTGTCCGTCTGTCCGTCTGTTACCACGATTTCTGCCACCACGCGCAACAAACAGGTATAATAGCGACACCAACGGGTTCAGAGCTACATTGGCTTTATTTTAAAATAGGCGATTTTCGTAAAAGTGCCGCGTTCAGAAGTTATGGCGTGAAAACCAAGTGAACAAGCCAATATGCAAATTAGCACTCGACCAGATGTGCTTGCTCTGCGTACCTTGGAGGCACAAGACGTCACAACGGAGGGCGTGTATCGACTCCCACATGCTATCTACTACTGTAGCTAGCCCGTGTCGCGAGCTACTAGCGGGAGTAAACGTATACTGGTATAATAGGCCCAGCCCATCAATTAGCGGTACTGCGCATGCGCAGTTCGCCGAGGGTTTGCACTTCATTAGTTCTGTAGTCGTGTGTGTCACGAGGTGTTCGTTGAGACAGTGAGCGGCTGCCGTGTGTCGGTAGTTCTGTCTCTGTGGTGTGGGTCTGTGTGTTGGGCCGATCTTGTTCCTATAATATCATATAAGATTTTGTGAGTGCTCAACGGCCGAGTCGGGTGGGGCTGGGAAAGCGTCAGAGAGGGTTACACTACTTGGTTCATGTTTGGTGTCTGCCATCGGTCTGTGTGATGTTCACCAAGTTTTCTGCCACCACACGCAACAAGACGGGGGAAAAAGTGACACCTACGAGCTCTGACTTGGTGTGTGATTGACAACTTGAGTACCCTTGGAATCTAACCCCCCTACATACTCATCACAAAACCATCAATGTTAAATAGCCTATGGTGTGTCAATTAAACTGATACCAACAGCTTCATTGCAACAAGGACATCTATACTTCACATGCATTGTGCGTGAAAAACGAATCAATTGTAATGACACACTATTCAACAATGGTGCTTACTTGCCATATTTTGGCGTGGCCCAGATCATTAACCCTCGCCCCACTCATGTAGCAAGGGTTACAGTACTTAGTCTGTCTGTCCGTCCGTTCGTCTGTCTATCTGTCTGTTACAACTGAATCTGCCACCACGTGCACAGACAGGTAAAAAGCGACACCAACAGGTTCAGCGCTACACTGGCTTCATTATGAAAATGGCGATTCGTAAAAGTGCTGCGTTCGAGAGTTATGTCGTGAAAACCAAGTCAACAAGCCAAAATGCTACTGGACTTGGAAGCGTTCAGTGAATAAATCAGTGCTTCAACTGGTACTGGTAAGGAGGTAGCAGGTTTAAGGAAGAAGAAGATCGAAAATCATGAAATAGCATATGAGAGAATTTTCACGTGGACGACTGAAGGTGCGTATGAGGTCTTTGGGAACATGTATAGCTAGATATCGGCCCGTAGACTATTGCTGGTGTGTTTTGAAGGCCTAGGGAGTAATTCACACCGTGTTTTTAGTCGTTCTGCACGTTGATCACGTGAGATTTCACCCGTGCCATCCCTATATGGAGTGTCTACCGACGCTCTAATGTATTTCCTGTATGACTAGCCTTCGTACCATGTTGTCATCACTTCCTCTGTCTTCACTTTCAGTCATTCAGATGCTTGATTCATCCTGATGCAAGAGTTCCCTTAAAGGAGGCAACACCCACATTTTGTAAGTAAGATGTACATACGTGTCCTGTGCCTTTTACACTTGTATTAATAAAGTGCAAACCGCGACACACTGTAACACTGAACCTATACGCATGTGCAGTACCGCTAATTATTGATGGGCTGGGCTACGCTTGAGCCTGGGTCTCTCGCTTAGAGTCTGACACGGGTTAGCTGCGCTAGTCACTAAGTACTTAGTATATAGGGATGGGCATGGTACTTATTATAGCATCATAGAGTATGGGGCTATGACAGGGAGGTTGTTCATCTTCTTCTCTTGAACTCGCATATAATCAATAGCAAAATTAGCAAAGATTGCGTAAAACGGGATTCTATCTAAGGGTGTGGCAAGCTTCCGCGCAAAGAAACTCACTCTGTCGTGAGAGCTCGCCGCGACGACTCAAATTCGCTATCCCATTCTTCTTCGATGAAAGGGCCTCTACGATGCAAAAGAATCTAAAGACCTTTTAGCTTCCCCAGCGAGAGCGAGTCTCGCGGAAGAGCGACGCGACTGGACGATTTTGACGGCCAGCATGGCTCCGCTCATACACACGGCCGTGTTACGCGTGCCTTGCCAGGCACCTTCATTCTGTGAACTTGAAGCACTGCCCATTATGAAACACCACCATTATTATGTGCCACAACCTAATCGCCGTCCTGTGGGAGACACTACGCAGACACCCTGCTCAGTAACAGCTGCTTTCAACAGGTATCTCCACAACTACCAGGAACATCAGAGTTGGAAACTGAAATGTGCAGTGTTGTCATACGCCATAAAAATAGTGGAAACAAGTAGAAAAATCTTTTTTTCAAAATGAAAGGGGGATATAGGGAGAGCTGTGTCGTCTGCGTGGGTGGATCAAAAGCACCGCCACGCACTATTATCAGGGAGTTTAAAATACCGCAGCGAGCGTTTATATCACTTCATGAGTGTACTACAACACTTCTGTGAGACGCAAGGGATGGCGCGAGAGCGCTCGAGTTAGGGAAAAAAAACAGGAAAATACAGCGACGGCGAAGGGACTCGGAAGCACACGGCGGAGGATCGGAGCGAAAAGGGCATATATCAATTCCTATGAGTGTTAAAAACTTCCTGTGAGACGCAAGGGATGGTCGCGAAGAGCGCTCGCGTATGGCAAAGAACAGGAAAGGACCAGCGACGCGCAGGACTAGTCTATACAGCGAATACTCTCATTTTCTCAGCCTAGATATTGCTGCGTCTTCTGAATAAAGAAAGTATTGCCCTTTCCGTTAGCTCCGTTTCGTGCGCCTTTTTACTAAGCCTTTCTTCTTTCTTTCCCCCTTCTCCCTTCTTCCTCTATTCATGGCCTGCAACAGTAAGCCGTGACTCAATTCCCTTCATAGCACATATACCTGTGATAGCAAGTGCAGGAGATGAAGATGATCATTATTGGGTCATGGGAAATACACGATTTTGACGGCCTCGGACCCTAGTAGTGTCTTCGCTGACGCTCAGACAGCTACAGCCACAGGGCCCCTCGGGCTGTCTAAGCGCGTATTTCTATGACGCGCAGTATAACCTATATGTAATGAAATTTTTAAAAAACAATGTAGTATCCGTCAACCCGAAGGACTGGTCATACTTATTTCTTTACTAGTGGAAATGTTGAACATTGTTGGCTAGCGGGAGCAAGACAGATTTCTCGTCTCCATTACATGCATATTGTACATTGGCGAAACGGTTAGCGGTGAGCAGAACGTACTTACCTTACGCATCAGCTCGTCAGGCGTGGTCCACAGGCGCTGACATTCGCAGTATGTGCACGAGCCATCCTAGCATATTTGCAAGTTGACCTTGGAACCATGAAGATTGGGAAGAGGTACACCTCGGTCGTCACCGAGTGCAAGCGCAGCCGATAGCCGTTCGACTGGTAGGAGCGTCGCGCTCTCGACTAGCTAGATCGCTCGCGCCGATATCGCGAGGCCCTAATGTGAACATCCAAATATTCGGATAAAAAGAGCACGTACAAAGCCGCGCAGTGCGCACTTACACGAACGTACGAGCGATAAATAGAATAGCCAAATCGGCGCCCGTACACGACTAGTTGGCTCGCTCCTGCTCGCAATAAACAACACCAAATAGCCCCAGGACATGCATTATAATGGATCAGGTGGGTCAGTTGGTTGTACTCGCAATGGTAGAGCTATGTGACAAAGTTTGCATACACACTGTATTCAATAACCAACCAACTCAAAATCCCAACAATGCATGTTTGTAAATAACAACCAATAGCCTCAGGCACCTTTCTTTAAATTACATCTTCACGTCTCAAACTTTGTAATTGTAGCACGCATAGATATGAAACTTGGCATGTATACCTATTATATCATTTCCATGACAACTACATGTTTCCATGACAACCGCATACTGTTTGAAAAGGCCTCAGGAACTTTTCTTTAGAACTATTTCTTCACTCCGCAAACTTGCTAACTGTAGCACGTATGGAGATTCCATGGCAACCAAATGTTTGACATTTTTTTAATTTAATTTTTATAAGGGACTTGCCCCCTTTCATAGAGATATACATAGTATATAAAAACGAGTGGAGACAAGTATATTAAAAATCCTGCGGATTTTAAAGAAGAGGCATATAAGAAAGAAAAGGAGACAAGATAGGGATGGGATACATGAAGCATAGTTAATGAACAGATTAGAACACGCTGACACGCCGACCCCTTCACACAATCCCTATATTGTTGCCTAGGTGAAGTATTAAACATTCTTCATTACAATAGTCAGGACCTACAGCTTGAAAATACAACTACTGAGTAACCATGTAGATATAAGGCCTCTGTTGTGATTTATTGTGTACATAGAGCAAAAGGATCAGATGTCTATCTTGTTTTTAAAAAGCCAAGAGTGTAGACAAAGCACTTTTTTACTCCTACACAACTCCGAATTAAATTGGCCTTTTTTCCGTGGGTCGTATGTGTCACCGAGTACTCTTGAAGGGAGTGTAAATGTACTTATTGTGAGTTTACTTTACACCTACCAAGTTTTAGCTGACTCTTGCATAGAGAAACAGCAGGTAAAAAGACAACTGTCTCGATCTCACTTTGGTTCACAAGCATAGTATGCAGAGAATGCGTAAGGTTATAAAGTTTACTAGCCCCTACCCAGTTTATAGGCTTCTTCTCCTTGTCTTTTACCTCTCAGGTGAAGATTGCAATCCTCGAGAACAGCCTTAGGCAGCTGTGATCTCCTCTCCGTTGTTGCAACTGTAAACGGAGGACATGGGGTGGAATAATGGCTCTACGTGCAAATCGCTGTTTCCACATTCCGAGCTTCGCATATTATGACAAAAACTTTGCCTGTTTTATTTGGAGAAAGCCACTGAAGTTCTGCACAGTGGTAGAAAGGGTTGCAGTCACGTAATACGCAAAAACGAATAGCGTGAAAATTTTCACGTACAATACTACCTGTATACCTGTTGTGTAATATGGAATATTTTGTCATGAGATCTCATGTGCATGGTAACATTGGCAGTGCTTAGGACGTCAAGCTCCTCAAATACTCATAAAACTTGTACATGTAACAACAACGAGGTTGCAAGGCAAAGGCAAAGCAAACAGGAAAACTCCAATTTTTCCAAGGAAAAGAGAACAGCTGCCCTAGGTGGGAACCCGCAACACTCTGCTTTCTAGGGAAGTGCTTGGTAGGCGCTCTACCAACTGAGCTTCCATGGGAACTCGCAGCTGGTATGGGTTCAATTCTTCAACACAACACAACACAAAGGCAAACCTGAAACTACTGTGCTATGGCACAGTATACTCTCACACAATGTGTATGCATGCATATCTTATTGTGGGTATTCTGATTACTCTGTGCACACATGCATTCATGTACATACAACTGCATTCCTGCGTTGTGGAATATCCCTCAAAGTTAGGGAGCATTTATATACCATATATGGTATATACAAGTAGAGTAAGTGTACTTATTACCCGTTGCTAGGTCGTTGCTATGTTTATTTTAGCACAATAAATCAGCTACCCACCCAAGAGGGTGAGAAGGTGAGAATATCCACTGTGGTTAGGGTAAATAACTAAGGAATGATGTGAATATCCACTGTGGTTAGGGTTGGGTATCAATGTTTTTATGTCGACGCTGACAGATCGAGGGAGCGATTGAGGGAGCGAATGGCAGAGGCTTTCCGTTTGGATGTCGAGGTTTGGGATTCTGGACGTCGCTGCAAGACTCCGCGTCCGAGAGTAACGCTCCTGGGGACGGGCCTTCGGCGGGCTAACTACACTACTACTAGATAGCATACGAGAGGCGATACACGCCCTTCGTTGCATCTTCTGGTGCCTCCGAGGTACGCAGAGCACGCGGATCGATCAGACCATGGTAAGTCGTTGCGTATTTGCATATTGGCTTTTTCGCGCTCTAGCTTTGCAACGGAGCATTTTCAGAGAAAACCGCCTTTATTTTCTGACCTTCGTCGCCCGTTGGGTAGATGGTATCGTTTCTGGGACGAACAGACATTCGAGAAGTGAGATGTAGAGTAACAGACAGACACACACACACAGACAGACCCAACTACTGTAACCCTCGCTGCGCATGCGCGCCGAGGGTTAATGAAGTCCCCCAACAGCGAAAACCTCGACATATTATTCTATGTACCAACCATTATATATACAAGTATGACAAGTAAATTAAAAATCCGCAAAAAAGAGGCATATAGGGATGGTATAAAAAGAAAGGGAGACAAGATAGGGATTGGATACATGAAGCATGGTTATGGAACAGATTTGAGTACGCTGACACCCCCAACCCCATCACACCATCCCTATATTGTTGCTTGGTGTGCTACTCTTATAGGGGCTAAAGGTTGCATTCTTTCACTGTGTCCTTGTTGCTTTTAGTAACATTTATACTGCCACATTCCCTTTAATTAAACTCCACTTGGACTCTATAAGGGTGTTGGTTACTCATAAGTGCATTGTAAGTTCTGAGTATTGTAATGGTGAACGTTTCATACTTCACCTAGGCTAGGGATGGTGTGATGGGGTTGGGGGTGTCAGCGTACTCAAATCTGTTCAATAACCATGCTTCATGTATCCAATCCCTATCTTGTCTCCCTTTCCATCCCTATATGCCTCTTTTTTTAAATTCGCAGGATTTTTATTTACTTGTCTCCACTCATTTTTATATACTACTACGTATTATCTCTGTGGAAGGGGGCAAGCCCCTATAAAAATTAATAATAGAGAATAAAATGCCTGTTGTCGTGATGGAAATGATATGCACACCATGTTTCATCTCCATGTGTGCTGCCATTAGCAAGTTGGAGGAGTGAAGAAGTAATTTTAGTGCCTGAGTGCCTGAGGTCATCATGGAAACGATGTTACACACATGCGTACCAAGTTTCACCTCCATGCGTGCTACAGTTAGCACGTTTTAGGAGTGAAGAAGTAATTTAAGAAAAGTGCCTGAGGCTATTTGTTATTGTGGTCGTCATGGAAACAATGTAATACACATGCGTACCAAGTTTCACCTCCATGCGTGCTACAGTTAGCAAGTTTTAGGAGTGAAGAAGTAATTTAAGAAAAGTGCCTGAGCTATTTGTATTGTGGTCGTCATGGAAACGATGTAATACACATGCGTACCAAGTTTCACCTCCATGCGTGCTACAGTTAGCAAGTTTTAGGAGTGAAGAAGTAATTTAAGAAAAGTGCCTGAGGCTATTTGTTGTTGTGGTCGTCATGGAAACGATGTAATACACATGTGTACCAAGTTTCACCTCCATGCGTGCTACAGTTAGCAAATTTTGAGGAGTGAAGAAGTAATTTTAAAGAAAAGTGCTTGTTGCTGTAGTCGTCATGGAAACGATGTAATACACATGCGCACCAAGTTTCACCTCCATGTGTGCGAGTTTGAGGAGTGAGGAAGTAATTATAAAGATAATTGTCTGAGGTTTCTTCAAACAGTATGCGGTCGTCATGGAAACATGTAGTTGTCATGGAAATGATATAATAGGCATACGTACCAAGTTTCATCTCTATGCGTGCTACCATTAAGGAGTTTGAGACGTGAAGAAGTAATTTAAAGAAAATTGCCTGAGGCCTTTTCGAACAATATGCGGTCGTCATGGAAACATGTAATCGTCATGGAAATGATATCATAGGCATACGTACCAAGTTTCATCTCTATGCGTGCTACTATTGAAAGTTTGAGGAGTGAAGAAGTAAATTTAAAGAAAAGTGCCTGAGGCTATTTGTTGTTATTTACAAGCATGTATTGTTGTCATTTTTATGTTGGCTATTGAATACATTGTGTATACAAACTTTAGCTCCCATAACTCTTACCAATTGTGAGTTACACTAACACATGTAGTATGCCCATTATAGCGTATTGCCCATTATAATGTGTGGCCTGGGGCAATTTTGTTTTTGTTTACAGTAAACAACATTGTTTACAAACAAAAAAATATGACGTTGCACATGTGGTTATCGATATGTACATTATTACAAAATTTCATGGCTTTATATCTTTCGGTTTTTGAGTTACGCTGGTTTAAGAAGGAGAAGAAGAAGAAGAAGAAGATGATGAACAAAACTCCCTATCATAGCCCCATACATCTATGATGCTAGGTACCATGTCAATCCCTATTATACTAAGTACAAAACCTCCCTTAGCGAATCTCTCAACTACAAAGGAACATAACCAAAGTTGTGTCCAAAGTACAATTATAACAAGTAAATAAAAAATCAGGAACCTCGTACTAACAAATCTGATTGGTCGATTCGAATCAGCTATGCACTAAATACTAAGTACTACCGTACTTAGTGATACTTACTGCTCATGCTTTATTCATACACTGTCACATCATTGTATACTTATGAACATTTTATATGCAATTTGTTATTCTCCTTTCAGTCAGTAAAATGGCAACTTCAGACGAATTACAAAGACACCTCTCAGGCAGTGACTTGGGAATTCTTTTAACTGAACTTTGGCCAATACAACCACGCAACATTCTGATTTTTGGTGTCCAACTTAAAATATCCTACAGCACAATTCAGGAGTTGGAGATGCGCAACAACATATACAAGGTTGACTCATTGAGAATAATACTTCACGAAGCTTTAAATCGTGACCCACCTCTTACAAGGAGAGAGATAGTAACAGCTTTGCGTAATCCTTCAGTAGGGGAAGAGAGGCTGGCAAGCCAGATTGAGTCTCAGTACTCTCTACCTCAGGCTCTTTCATCAGATGCTAACTTTAATGGAGCTATATCTGCTGCACCATCCGCTGCACCAATGTCTATGCCCCAATATCCCCAATTAGCTCCTCCATCAGTCCAACAGGATACAAGTGTGCCACAACACTCAGGTAGTACTCAAGCTCCACAGTGGCCTGTAAACATTCAGCCCCCAACCTATGAACATCGTCCAGTTAATCAATTACAGCAGCCTCGGGTCAGCCAGTCTAACCAGCCTCCTTATTTAACAGGCCAGAATACATCTCAGCAGCCACTAATGCATAACACCATTCTCAATGATACACAGCGACTGCTACAGCTGCATCAGCCTTTTCCCTATT